TATAGTCATTAACGTTATTGAAACTGACAGCTGCTATACAGCTCGTTGAGAAATGAGGTTAAGTTGGTCGCTATAAGCTACTCCCTACGTCCAATGTGTCAGAGCCAACTTCGACCACGTTTTTATTTGAACGCTCGTTATAATTGAAGTGCATGATATAGTAATATGTACCTATTTATTTAGACAAAAACAGTTTAATAAAAATTCATCCAAATTTGATTAAAGCATGGTCATGAATGGGAGTATTGTCAGTGCAAAGAGAAAACATTTTGATGTGGACGCTAAAATACTTTCATTTTGTAAGCTCTCGACAATTTTCTTCCTGTTAACATGTTTTAAGTTTTAATAATATTGTGTAATGGAGTCCGCCCTCTGGTGCAAAACCCGACTTCGCCACGACGGGCGATTTCTTTCTGTCGCACGAAATTGGTCCCCTCGGACGTCCGCGAATATATTTCGGAATTTTCGAATTATCCAAATCGCCATGCGCCAATTAGGCCGTCCCTTAGCTCTGCGAGAATTTTCATAATTTCTGACCGAGGGCCGGGCTCAGGCGGGTCGTAATCGGCTTTGCTCCCAGCTGATTGACAGTTTCTGGTGGAAATGCCATCCTCGACTAATTCGGGCCCCCTCAGTTATTCGCGACCGAAATTATTTAAAGTAAAATACCGCCAGTAAGCGTATACGGGAGGGCGAATCGTTAATACCGATCCGCTTAAAGCTATCCCGGTCCACTCTCCAGCTGGGAAGATGGCGTCAGACGACATCAGGTTCGAGTGATCGTCTCGATGGCCCCGCCCAGAGCCTCCATCCGTCTTAATTCGAACCGAGAATTAAACTGCATTAAATTTTGACGTTGATGCCCCATCGAAACAAAACCAAAACCCGAATAAAAGTCCCAATAAAAGCAATTATTCATATTTTATAAACGTTGCTCCAACATGACTGGCGAAATCTCTGCCTACTTGCATGGGCGTACGCAGATAAAAGTGTTTCTTTGATCCTGCCAAAGGGATTTATTTGGAAAAATATTCTTTAAATGTTTTTTTCCAATGTAACTCAATATTTAGAATATCGACTACAATTAAAAACAAAAAATTTCACGCTATTATTCTTTTTTGTTCGTAAGTTTTGTAATTTTTCTGTAAGTTAAAAAAAATATTTCGCTTTATTTTAAATTTTGCAGACGCGAAATGAATTATTTAGCAATTTTTATGGTATTTTTTACACACAACCTTTTTTTAAATAATAAAGTATATAGATAAGATCAAGAAATGCCAATATTTGACGATGTACCAGTGGCGGCTCGTGACATTGTAAAGGTGAGGCCCGTGGCTTTTTTATTAGGTGGGCAAGAAAGAAAAAAAAAGCCGCAGGCAAAAATATTTAATTTTTCAAGGTCAAACGACGACGCATCTGGAAATTTTTAGTTGTATTTATAATATTATAGAAAAACTAATGTTCACAAGCAGGATTTTCATTCAGATTTTATAAAATATAATACGCAACTATTTGGATATTTTATTAATCCACTCTCAAATAATAAATAGGAATAAATTTCCACGTCATTTTTTATTAT